GTTGTTTTCAAACTTTTTTTTTTTGGTAGCAGAATCTTTTTTATTAAACAATATTTAAAAACAGAAACTGCATGTTTAAAAGACATAAAAATAGAGCTGCTCTGTTTGAATCCTGGTGGGGTTTCTCTCCCTGTCCATCTTCCCCACTGGTGGCTCCACGGAAAACTACTTGAAATACTAGAGCCCTGTGAAGCACAATCAGAAAATCACCAAATGAGAAGTTCCCCCGGGATTTCCTCCAGTTCTAGTATTTTTGAGGTTGTGATCATTCACCTGTGTGCCCTGAGCTGGGCTGGGTCTTGCTTGGCAGCTGAGAGTTTGTGGTACCCGCTATGCACTGGCAGCGGAAAACAGAGTGAGCCTTTGCCCTGGGTGTCCAGCCTCATCTCACTTCTTTTTACTCTTCTCTTGATCTTGTGACATATCTCTCCTTTCTCCTAATGCAAGTGAGTGTCCCCCATGTCTAGACTGGGGCCAAGCTGCCATTGTGGAGCCAGGAAGGAGTCTTGAGTTGCCAGCACAACTTAGCCTCATGCTCAGATCCTCGGGTGGGGACATGGAGGTTCTTGGAGCAGACCTTCTTCTTCCCCAGGTTAATATTTTTACCACCCCTCTTGCCTTGTCCTCTTCTGGGCTGTCATTGGCCTCAACTGGGATTAGGATCTCAGGATCTGTCAGGATTATAGATGGGGAGTGTGGACTTGCCCAGCCCTGATCCAGTTTGTGAGTGAACTCTGGAGACCAGCTGGAAGAGGGCTCTCTCCTCTGTTTTTTTCCTACCCTAATTAATCTCAGAATTCTCAAGAATATAAACTGCCTCAGGGGAAGTTGCCTAGGGGGAAGGTGGTTTCTTTCTTCAGTCTGAGACCATCAGAAACCACTGCTGCACTGATGATCATTCCCTTTTCCTCCCTCCTGCATTTCCCTCCTTCCCATATTTCCTGAGGATAATTATGGCTGCCTCTTCCCACCTGCCTTCAAGATTTCTTCCTGAGAGACTGGCAGACCATGATTTGGCAGATACACAAGCCCTCTGCCAGCCACCTTCTCCCAAGCCAGCTCCAGATGCTAAATGGGAATTTGGCAGAGGGCTTATATGTCTGTCATGGTAAAAATCACAGGCCATTTTGAATGCCAGTGATCACTGCCCACAACACAGAACATTCTAGAATGTCTAGGAGCAGGGTGGGGATTGAGAAGATGAAGGGAGATGGACTACTCTGGGCTTCTTAGGATGAGGAATATCTTAAATTGCTGGGTAAGACATTAAAATGGGGGGTCGATTGACCCTAGGATTGATAGCAAATGATCTGAAGGAGTGAAGCAGGTTCAGTATAAGAAAATAGATAACGATGGGCAGTGATGAACAGGAGAGCAGACATTACGCTATCTAAATGGGATAGCCACTAGTGAGACAGTTTTGTAAAAATGTGGGCTCACTGTCTCTTTCAACTTTGTACTAGTTCCTGGAAACCAAATTTTGTGTAACATTTCACATTTATTAAAACGTTGCACAGAAAATGAAACACCCTCTGCTGACGGGTTTTGCTCATGTTGCTCGTTTGCTCTCCTGATGTAAAGCTCTTGTCAAATGACCGTTTCTCTCTATATGTGTGTCACCGGTTCTCAGTTCTAAAAGCCAAGTTAGAGATTAGTCTCGGCATTTTAACCAGTGGCTAGATGTTCACAGGGGAAAGGTCTTCATGTGAGTCAAGGGGCTTATATTCATTTCCTATTGCTGTCGTAACAAATCACCACCAACTTAATGGTTTAAACAGTGCAAATTTATTATCTTACACTTTTGTAGATCAGAGGTCCGACATAGTTCTCAGTGGGCAAAATCAAGCCCTGTCAGCGGGGCTGTGTTCCATTCTGGAGGACCTAGGGGAGAATCCATTTTCTTGCCTTTTCCAGCTTCTAAAAGCTGCCTGCATTCCTCAGTTCATGGCTCTCTTCCAGTCTTTCAAAGCCAGCAGTTTGAAAAGGTTCTCTCCTTGTAAGGATTCCCACGATTGGACCCACCAGAAAATCCAGTGTATTCTCCTCATCTCGTGGTTATAGTTTAATCACATCTGCAAAGTCCCTTTTGCCACATGAGGTAATGTATTTACAGGTTCTAGGGATTGGGATATGAACAAGGCTTTTCCCTCAACTTTTGGATCTTTTGCTCCTTCTATCATAAGACACAAACCGATGATAACAGGGGTTTTCTTTCCTCATAACCTGGCCCACTCCTCCTCTGTTCAGGCTTCCCTTTCTTTAAGGGATCGTTTCTAGGGGGTGCCCTTCAGTGCAGCCTTGCCCAGCCCTCTCTTACCAGTAACTCTTAGCTGCCTGTCTGGTTACAGCTCCATCTGCTGCCTCAGGGCTCGGGAGCAGCACTTTTCTCTTGGCTGCCTCTCCCTGTGAAACTTCTCAGCTGAGATTCGTTACAGGGGTAAAGGACTGGGCAAACCCTTCTCCCTCTCCCCAGAGGCAGCATAGGCTCCTGGGGGCCTGTGCAAAGATCAGAGTCAACATCACAGTGGCGAGGCTGGAGGCAGGGTGGGATGACAAGTCTGACTTGGGTAGCAGCTCCCGAGGGCGCACAGCTTAGCCGGCTGGAAGCATAGGCTAAATCCAACAAGAGCACATTTATTCCTATTAATTTTCCAAGTCATTTGCTTGGATTCAAATGGCCAACTGCCCCCAAGAACAGGGTGAGGAAGACTGACATTCGACCTCAGTTTTGGCAGGATGAGTGAGACCCACCTGTGACAGGTATCACCTTCAGCCCCCTTGGAGGATAAGACTAATTCTATTTGTGTGATGACCAGGCCGTGGAGGTCCTCTTCTCTCCCTTAAATCTTGTAAGTCCAAGATATTGCAGCAGGTTGGTTACACACACACACACAAATTCTGGAGTCAGAGCACCTCGGCTTGAATCCTAGCTCTTCCTCATATGATGTGTGTGTCCTGAGGAAAATGACTTTATCTCAATTTCCTTGTTCCTAAGCAGTGACAATTACCTCTACTTTACATGGTTTTTGTAAGGATTAAGTGAGTTTAATAATATCTGTAAATACAGAAGAGTGCCTGGGCATAGCCATAACATGGCTTTGTTAAATAATAAACATGTATAATCATCTCTGTGAAAATAGTCTGGAAACTTATTCTTTGGTCATATATGCTTTAGTAACTATACTTCTCTACTAGAAGTTAGAATTAAATTATCAAGTTATTCAACTTGAAAGAAACCTAGAGGATTTATCCGAGGCACATTCAGACTGCACAAATATGGTTGTGGATGTAGTTTACATTAATAGTAATATACTTACTAGACTAGAACAAAGGAAGTAACCTAAGAATTCTACTGTCTTCTGTGCTGGTCAGATCATAGTAAGAGTCAGTCCCTCTAAGAGCCTGGGTTATTTTGGGATTCTTTTCAGTTATACTTAAGTCCGCTCACTGACAGTTTGGACAGAGAATCAATACACTTTAGTTAGAATCAACAGACCTCACTCTGTCCCTTAGATAAATTTGTCCCTCAACAATCACCAAAATTTGAGGTTCCAGCTGGCCTCCCATCCTGTAGGTCTAGCTTGAAGCATTGCAACTAGTTCTGGTTGCCACAATTAGAAAGAGATGCCAACATTGGCAAACTGGGGAGGAAACTCCAAACATTACAAATGTAGACTCTTGGAAACAATCAGAGCCATTAGGCTATAACTGGGAGGATACAGGAGAGCTATGAGAACTGGCTCCAAATCCTGGGAAGGGCTATCATGACAGATGGAGTAAGAGAAAGAACACTTAATAGATACTGACTGCTCAGAGCTTTGCATCTCATAGCTAATTAAATGTCCAATAACAACCTCGTGGAAGTAGACAGAACTACTGCATATAACTAGGTTTGGAAGAGGTGGAGTGACATGCAAATCCCCCAAATGCCATGTGCTATATTTGGTAGCTCTCAAATCTTTCGGCCTCATCTCACACTTCTGTAACATGGTTGCATGATGAGCATACTATATTAGAGCTTTCTAATATTTAGAGCTAACAAAATGATGTCAGAATTACATAGTTGTTTCTTACCATCAAAGATGTTCAAACAAATACTTGATGATCATCGTAAAAGATATTGAAAAGATGATTTATTTATGTGTTGTTGCCGAGTGGAAATGGAACACATATGAAGGCACTGTCCAAGCTTTGAGATTCTGAGTTTCTATACTGTGGGGTAAATTATACACTTTAGATATATTGTAATTGTTTTTCTCTCTATTTTCACTTCCTCTTCCATTCCATCCCCTTCTCCCATTCGGGCAGATCATCTGTTCTGGGAACATGCCTTTTTAAAAGGAGGGATGTGGTAGCTGGCAGTTTGGCATTTAGGAGAACAGAAAGACCACACTATTGTCTCTGATTGTTGGACCTAACGTTTGACCAAGTTTACTAAGGAGATTTGTTACACTCCTTTGCGGCAAACCTGGAATGATTAGAAGAGGAAGCAGTTGTATAACCTCTCCTTCCCTCACCTCCAATTCCTTGGCACCCAGAAAACTCAAACTCCTCAAGGTAGGATTTAGGCCTGGGATTGACTTATGATAATATTCTGCTACCATCGGTGTGGGAATTTGATATAGAAATCAAGTTGACCTTTTGAAAATAAAGTTATTTTTTACACCTTCGAGCTTGTGAACCTATTTTAAACTTAGGAGATGAAGGATGTGTTTTCTGAGCCCCTACACAAAAGTGGTTGCAAACCTGAAGTGTTCGGTCCTCTGCTGCCCTAGTGTGGACATAGCTGGAAATAACAGTTCTAAATTTCACTTGCTTGCGGGGAGTGTGAAATTGTGCTTGGCAGAAACCTCCCCTGTGAATTGGTGGCCGAGGCTTAAAGGCCGGTGGAGGCTAATGCCCAATATGGGGGAGTCAGAAACTGTTGCTGACCCAGCAGGGCTCGGGTTCTCAGGGGAAAAGTGTGGAACTCATGCAACCCACCAATGACTTCAAGAGGCTTTCTTCTTGTCCACCATCTTTATTTTCCCTCAAGACACCTGGATCCAGTGAGCGAGTGATCATCTAAAGACTCCCAGTCATGCACCCACGGGCACAGTGCCAACCCTCCCACACCTCCTCTTCCTGTGCTTGGAGTAACAAGTCTGTAGGTTTCTCCTTCGGGTTTCACAGCTTTCACACCATCTCTTCACCGTCTGTCTCTATACTACCATCTCCACACAGCTCTCCACTATCACATTTATGTTTGCCACATCCCTGACTCCCTGCACAAGCACAGGACAGAGATGACCCTTTTGTTTTGCTAAGTGAGAGAGGGGGACAGTTGGGCACAAACAGGGGAAGGGGCTCTGAATCACTGGTGGCACCCTGGTTGGAGTCCAGAGGTGTCCGAATCCCAGGACTAACTTCTACTTACAGGCTAATTTCTTCTTTCCCTGGTCAGCTCCCTCCTGTGTGCTCCCCACCCTCACTCTCTATTTCCTCCTAACAAATAGCAATGGTGGCTTGGGGCCGCCGCGCCCCAGCCCTCTCACACTCCTGCCTACAGGAGAGGGTGGGTTTCCTGGGCCTCCTGCTACCTGCCACCTGGGCCTCCTCTCTCCAGCTGGGAGCCAGGGACCCACACACCTGGCCCGACCAACTTTCTTCCCCCTCTTTCATGCCTCCAGACCCTGCCGCAGCCTGCGGTCTAGGGCCAGGAGCTGCCTCAAGAAGCCCCTGTTGGGGATGATGCCTCGGTGGTCCTTGACTTTCTTGATGGCCTCCACGAGGGTGAGGTGGTGGTACAGCATGAGGTAGGCCAGCACCAGGGTGGCAGATCGGCTGACTCCTACGGCACAGTGCACCAGGATCCTCCCTGTGAGGACAAAACAAGAAGCAGCTGTGGGACTGTTTGTGGTGGGTTGGAGGAGACTAGGGAGAGGGCTATGTGGATGGCGAGGAGGAAAACCTGAGTAGGGGTGCATGGAGACAGGACGACGGGGTGCAGATCAGTGGTGGTAAGAATGCAGGCCCCTGACAAGTTCTCAAGACAGACTGAGATGGAGAACATGCAGCAGCTCAGCATCTATAAACTTAAAGAGGACTCAAAGGTAGAGACTCATAAGCGATGCAAAACTGAGCTCTGCACAGAGTAGGACTTCAGCTGATATTTCCTGAGTACATCAGTGGAAAACACCCTGTGTCTAATTTGGCCCTTCCTCAGTCTTGCCCACCTGTCCATCTTTCTATTTCTATCAACCATTTTTTGGAGAGGATGTTTATATAGCTTATATTTATAAATACTTTTTTTCCCGATCACCAAAGCAAGACATGCTCAAAGTAGAAATAATTGGAAAGTACAGAATTATGTAATAGAGAAAAAAATTGAAATATATCACCCATAATCTTACCACCCAAGTGCAACTTGCCACTCTCTTAACATTTTGGATCATTTCCTTCTCATCTTTTTATGTCTTTTATGTATTTCATGTATTTTAAAAATGGTTGAGAGAATGTTTTTCTCTCATTAACATTATATCCCGAGCATTTTGTCATGTCATTGAAATCTCTCTCCCATACTGAACCCTCCTCAGCTTTTCCCCTCACTCAATGTCTACCATTCCTTCCTTGCTCCTCGCTTTCCTCTCCTACCTCCTGGCTGGCTCAGGGCCCGGTGGATGAAGTCGGCAGCGGTCTGGAAGTGGATGCTCATGTCAAAGGCTGGCGAGTCATGGGCCTCGACACCCAGGTAGCGGATGCCCAGCCCCTCGTAGGCCTCAGGCGTGCCTCGCCACCTGCTGTGTGAGGCATTGAGGACGTGGGTGATGCCCAGACGCCGGAGCTCACGGTGGTTGTTAGCTATGTCCCTGCATTGAGTAGAGGTTAGAGGGAAGGTGGGGAAGCAAGGCTGTGTGGCAAGAGTCCCTGTCTGTGCCCTGTCCCCTGCTGAGCTCATGTCTTTGGCTCCTGGTCTCCCCTTTGCTTAGTGATGACCCAGAAGGGAAGAATCAAGAGGAGAAATGACCTGGAGTCTCGTCCTGGAGCAAGGGTTGAGAGTACTGAGGAGGTTTTGCCTGGAAAAGAGAAGACTAGAGGGTGGGTGACCGATAGCCATAATGGAACATTGAGAGAGTGCTCTGAGGCTGCGAGGGTTTATGATCTGTAGGAAGAATTTATTGGATCTGTACTTCATGGAAGGAAATATGTACTAACAGTGGAATCTAGCTGAGACAGATGGGAGCATCTTGGGAGAGAGTGATTTTCCTGTCACCAGGGTATTCAATTCAAACAGAAAAAGGAGGTCAACACGTGGGTATGGATGCTACAATTGGGTTTGGACATCAGATGGGACATTAGTTTGGACCAGCTCACAACTAACGTCCCTGCTATCCTTGAAATTATTTCATTCTAACCCTTGCTCCCATACCTAACTCCCCTGTCACTTTATGCTCTGACACCGAGAATCTCCTTATATTTTGCCAATTATTCCATGCTCACATTTACCCCATTTTATGACATCACCTTCACGTGTTCATGTGGCCTATACCTTTCAGTTTAGTGATAGACAGCTTTCAGGCAACATGGTCATATTTCAGGACAAGCGCTCTGTCCAGTGCAAACTCTTCAAATGGAAAGAGCACTGAACTTGAACCTCCAAGTCCTGGCTCTGCTACTTACGACCCGTGTGACCTTGGGCCAGTCACAACTTCTCTGAGCTTCAGTTTCCTCATCTGTAACCTGGGGATAGTGGTACCTACCTCACAAGGCTGTTGTGAAGATTAAGAGAGAAAATGCATGTGAAAAACTCCTCGTATACTACAGAGCCCTTGCGAGAGAGAAGCGGGGACTATTCTTTCTCTGATGCTCTTCTCTCCATAGCCCCCCACCTTGCAGAACGTCTGCATTCACTACGGCTTTGCTTGGTCATCCCTTCTCCTTCCTACCCACTGTTCCTGGCTCCCAATGACTGTCTTTTTTTCCAGAGCCATAGCACAATAGATGGAAGGTCAGATAAGTCATCTGTCATGTCTGATACATAGCATTCAGTAATAAGTTTTGCTAAATAAATGATATTATTACTTGAACAGAGTTTTTCTGTCCAGAGTTGAGTAGATCAATAATCCTGCCCAACCCTTTCAAACCCTCCATCCTCCACTCTCTGCTCATGCACCCCCCTCCCCTCAGTCCTCAACCTGGAACCAACAACACAACTCAGTGCCTCTCTGGCCCCCTTCTCCTTTCTTCTTGCGCGCACATGTGCGCGCGCGCGCACACACACACCCACACCCACCCACCCACACACACACACACACTCAGCCATGGCTGAGTACATATTGGTCTGCAGGGTACATACTGATCTCCGAGATAGAGGCCTGGCCAGACCTCATCGGCGTGGTTACAGGCTGTCTTGCCTGTGTAGAGAAGTCTCTCCAACTCAAAGACATTGAGGAAGGGATGTTGAACAGCTGGTATCTCCTCCAGGGCCCCTCTAGTGCGAACAGGAGACCTTGAGCTACTCCGGGAGAAGCGGGCCATAAAAGTCATGGAGGCCCAGAGCCAGTTACCAGGGCACATCTTAGAGGCGGCAGAAACCGTGGCAGCTGCTGGATGGGCTGCAGTGATGATGGGCCAGTCTCCAGGTAGCTGTTGCTGGAAGAGGAAGGAATATGAGACACACCTGAGTGAGTCCAGAGCAGCTGCTTCCTTTCCTGCCAACTGGGCTGGGTCCTGGAAAGAAGATTCTTGAGGAAGGGAAGGTAAGTCTGTCCCTGGTGGGGTCTCCAGGGTTATTTTTTTCTTCAGCTGCGGCAGCTCCTTTCTCTCTGCTTTTTGGTTCTGTCACGCAAAGAGGTGGGAGAGTCACATGTCCTTGTTTACGAGGAGAGGGAGCTGCCCAGCTGCTGGGTTTCTGCTCCAGCACCCCACCCCCACTCCCACCACACATACATAAACACACACACAAACATTTGGTGTTTGGGTGGCAGTACCCACTGCTGGAGCACTTGCCAGCCTGAATCTGGGTCTCATCTGCCTGGGGCTACAGCCAGAGAGGCTAGGGAGTTAGGATGGGGGTTGGAGGGTGGCTTTCTCCATCCAGAGAGAATCGGCAGGAAGACAGTGGCAGCTGGGGCCATGACATATGCCAATCTTGCCACCTCAGTGCCAGAAAGATGGGCTGCTTTAACCTATTCCTACCTGTCCTACCACTGCCTCAGAGATAAGGCTGTCGTGGGAAGCGTATGTTGGGGAATGGGATGAGTGGGGAATAGCAGTAAAAAGGAAATATAAGTTTTTGAAAAACACTTGCTGAATGCATGAGCTAACGGGAGAAGGCGCCAGTCTATGTGCACAACAAGCAAACCACCACCCTCTTTTGATCGGTATAAAGAACAGATTGATTAAACCTCATCTCTAATGTGAGAATTTCTGAGTTGAAGCAGGGCTAGAGTATTGTCGTGTGTGTGTGCGTGTGTGTGTTGGATGGGGATAGAGGATGGGGGACTGAAGAGGGGGTAGAAAATGAAGGATGAGGGATCTTGCCAGGCCCAGGGGCTCAGAGGCTGGAATTCCTATCTGTGTTGCTGTGGGAGTTAAGTGACAGTTTGAAGCCTATGGGCCTAGCAGGTGTGCCCCTGACTCTGTCTGGACAGCTAGCTCTTCCAAAAGTGAGACCATGTGCTGAGCTGCAGAGTTGACAAGGGCCAGCCTTTGAGACTTGCCCTGGCACCTTCAGGCAGAGGGGAGACTGTGGCAAGAGCCTCTGCCTTCACACTGCGGTCCTGAATGTCTGGAAAGGCAGGAGGGCTGGCAGAAAGAATCCCTCTCCCACTCCCTTCCCTGTCTTAAGCCCTAGAGCCTTCAACCAAAGTCCAGCAGTGAAAGGCCATCTTTGTCCTGCCCACACTCTGCATCTCCACCCCACACCGCTCCCATTGCTCCCCCAGGCCAAGAGAGACCAAGCACTTACAGGGCATTGGCCAGAGGAGACTGAATTTTAGGGTGTTTAAGAAGAAATATTTTTTCAATATCTGGGTCAGAAAGAGCACAGAAATACAGCCCTAAAGCCATCATCATCATCATCATCATCATCTACCTTGTCTCCTCAGGCCTAAAGACTCCATCGGTTATTTCAAAACAACCTTTTCTGGAAGCAGATTCTGCTGCCTGTGGGATGCTGAATGATAAAAGGGAGCGGGAAGGAGATCAGGTGTAGAAAGACCCTCCGGGGACTCTATTTCTCCTGGGGGTGTGGAGAAGCCCCATTCTGTCCCAGGATACACCCCTCGGTATTCTCCAGTCCCATCTGCGGAGTTCCAGGGGCCCTGGTCCCCCGCCCCCCTCCCTCCGTCTGCTATCGCGGTTGTAACAGGTCCATGGCCGTCGCCCAGCCTTTGCCAACCCAGACAGCCTGGCGCTGACGGTGGAGGGAGGGAGCCCGGGAGGGCACAGCTTGCTCGGCTCCCAGGCCCCCTCTCCTGTCCCCTCCCTCTCTCACATCCTTGTCCGGGAAGGCGACCACCCGCCGTAGCCCCTCTACCTCTCTGCGCGGCGGGGGTCTCAGTCCCGGAGGCAGATGGAAGGAGCCCGCAGCACCTCGGCCATGACTCTCCCGCTGCCGCCGCTGCCGTGGTTTCCACTGCCAGACCTCTTGACGGATGAGCATCTATTTTTAAGCCATGACACGCACGTCGAAGCAAGGCTCTATCAGTGTGTGTTGGTGACACAGGAACAGTCTCGTATCCAGTGGTCGGAAGCAACATGCAGCGTGGGCTCACCCGCACCCCCTCCCGGGCCGCCGAATTTACAGACCAGACACGGACCACGCAGCTAGAGCAGCTCCGCCCCGCATGCATGCTCATGTGCATGTGTATTTTCGGAGCTGCGCCAATTACAAGGCATTTTGCTTAAAGATGACATTATGCAAGTCGTCTTAAACGGTGTCTTAAACACACACGCTCCTCCCCAGACAGCATTAGTTAATTACATAGACACTCACTTGTACCTTCCTCCTTCTCAAGAACACCACTCATAAATAATAGTCAATAACTCTATTAATATTTACAATATGCCACGTATTTCACGTATTTTAACTCCTTTTATGCTCACCACAAGTCTATGAAGTAGGTAGTATTATTATTGTCCCCATTTTAAGGAGGAGGCAACTGAGATACAGAGAAGCTGAGTAATTTGCCCAGGGCATTGCCAGAGCTGAGCTTTAAATCCTGGCAGTCTGGCTCCCAAATTTATGTCCTTAATGGCTTTCTAAAGCTTTCTAAACCAATGCCTCAGCACAGTGGAGAAGGCACGATGGATTTCAATCAGGAAGCCATTTCCACTAGCTCGGCTCAGAGTGAACTCCCCGTTCCTGGGACTTCTGAAGAAATTCATGTCCATACCTCTTCGCCTGTGCTGCCTTTTAGTGATGTTTACTTTCACTTGCTTTTCTATTGTAAGCGCCTTGTCAACTTTGAGATCGTAAACACTTGGAAGGCAAGGACTGGGTTGCATTCCCTTGTGCCTAGCTTGTATGATGAGGAAGGAAGGGGAGATAATGAATGTTAGCAGATAATGCTGTTGAGAACCAAGCAGACTTGGACTCCAGGAGAACTGTCTCGCAGGAGGAAGGCAGGGACCTGTAAGGTCAGCCTGGACCTAGTATAGGATGAGAAAATGATATCAGCTTTAGCTGAAATCAGGATTGGCTACATTCCCAGTGCAGGCGGTCTATCAGATTTCGGTCTCTGGGTCAGACAAAAAACTGGCCAAAGTGACATGCTTATGTGAATTCCCTGTGCACACATATTAAAGTTTGATTTTCTCCTGTTAGTCCGTCTCTGTTAATTTGATTATCCCAGCCAAAAGAAGTTAGAAGGTGAGAGGAAAAGTATTAGTTTTAGCCCCCACAGAAGCAAACTCAATTCCTTTCCGTTTTTCTTGTGCCTTCTTGGTATGGCAGTTTAAATGAAGAAATGAAATCTTCATAATTTACAACAAAGAATCGACCTAGGAAATTTGAGATTTTAATTTGTAGACCCAGGAAAGCCCAGATTGAAAGTTGTCACAAATCAAATTGTGAAAGGGTATGTATCACACTAACCTCATTTTAAATGACAGTCTTTAGGGTTGGTAGATTGAGAAGATATAGATGAATTTGATCTCGATCTTTAGCAAGACTTGTGCTTTGACACTGCATTGTACTTTTATCAAAAAGCTGGGAAAATATGCTTTAAAGCATACTGTGGATAATGTGGATAGGTGTTTTTGGGTAACCATAGAAATTGTCCATGGATCAATATTTTCATGAGGAGCATTTCCAGGGGTCTACCTACAACTCATGTGGCTTTATATATATATATTTGCTTCTAGCTGCTATCAAACTAAAATAAAGATGGAGAGGAGGAGGGATGATACAGGAAAGAGTTAGCATAGAGAAGATAATGGAGAAGGTAGGACAGAAAAGGGGAGAGAGAAAGTATAAATGGCATGTATTGATAATTTATTATCTGTCAATTCATTGGGCTTTCACATTTATCAGCTTATTTAATCTCACACCTTTTAGGTGGGTATTATTATCTCCGGTGAATACTCAAGGAGACCGACACTTGGCTAGATCAGTTAACTCATCCATAGCTGGTAAGTGGCAGAGCATGGGTCCAAACCCAGGGGTATCTGATTCCAAACTTCTACATTTCAAGATGAGGCTGAAGAGTCATTTCCTCTATAAAGCTGTACTAGATCCACTCCATTTGTCCATTTCCTTTTTGTGCTCATATAGACTTCTGTCAAAGGACCTATGAACTCTATTGAGGCTACTGGGAGATACCAATAGATTTCCAAATAATCTCAAAAGAACCCCTACCTCCCTAAAAAATTCGAGAGAGAAAAAGAAGTTTAGTAAGGGGGCAGGGCAAGAAAGACCAACAAATATATGTTAAATGGTAATTCTAACTGCTACCATTTAACTATAGACTCGGCACTGTTAAGTGTTTTTACATTATCGACTGGAAAATAATATCAACTTGGTGTTTTTGTCATAAAAAAGATTTATTTGGGGAAAAAGAAAAGGGTTGCAACCCAGTGCATGCAGATATAGTAAGCCAAGTGCATAACTCTGGCCTATGTGCCAAGATGGAGGGGTATTTACAGCAGGGAAAAGGAAGAAAAGGGAAGGAGAATTTAGAATCATAGAACTTTATTATAATTATAGAATTCTTCCTGTAGCGTTCTCTTAAATACTTAGAAGACTTCCATAAGTCCTAGCTCTTCCCATAGACTCTCCTGACTGATTATGTTTGCTTAAAGTTCCAGTTAGTCTTTATCAATATATAGTAGATAACTTAATCCCATAAAGTCAGTATTATTAATATCACTTTGAGGAAACAGGGTTAGAATGGTGGTAATCCACTCTGCAGCAGCTAAACAGCTAATAAGTGGGACTTGAGCATGGATTTAGACCTAGAACTATTTTAAACCAAAGCCTGTGCTTCCAACCACTGTGATAACAAATAATAGTAATCGTTTAAATGTATCAAGCCCTACCCTACGCCAGGCATTTAGCAGAAATGATGTGAATTCCTCACAAGAATCCTCTCCACCCTTTTCTTAGGGAACATGGCTCCCCAGTGGCAGGATCTGGGAGAGAGTGCTGGAGTTTGGCAGATGCGGCCTTTTAGTCCCCTGGAGTGTCTCCTGCTGCTCTATAATCCTTTCTCACTTATAGAGTAATGCAGACAGAGTGGAACCTGGCTTCCTCCCAACTATGCCCTAAGTACCACCACGGCCATCTTTCCTGTACTGGTCCACCCGTGCACTCTGCTTCAGGTTTAAACTACTCACTAAAGGTTCAAGCAGAGAACTAAGGGCTGTGACTTTATTTAGCAATGGGAGTGTGGTGAGGGTAGGAAGGGCAGAGAAAGACCCAATGTCATTTGAGGTGCCGGGTGGTGACACTGACTTATCCTTCTAAATCCTCATCCCTCCAGTCCCTGTTTTTCTTTGGTTCCTTTCTTGGTCCCTATTTAGCACTTCCTCTTCCCCAGGCCCTGGTGATTTGTGTGCCAGTCTTCTAAGGCAGATGTTAATGGGAATTTCCCTTGCTTGGGCTCCTGCTGGCTTGGAACTGGGGAGGGAGGCAAGTGAGTTCTTTGCTTAGAGTGAGAATCTCATTTTTGCTTCAACTTTAATGCCTTTCTTCTCTACCTCTCCACCAATGCATTTGGTAACTACTTTCTCTCTGATTTACCAAGGGGTGAACACATCTTACCACTGTGATTATTAATTTTTTTCTAAGAACCACACATTATCACAGGGAGCAGATATTCTTTCCATTAGCCTGACTTTGTAATGAAAATAAATTCTAGAGAGACTAGTGTCCCTATAGGAGAAATAAACCAAGATTATTATTTACAAATGAAACAAGATACAAAGGGAATATACAGTAAATCTCAATATTACAAAAAGAGAAAAAATAAAAACATGCGTAAATACATATTTTGAAAAAGACTGAAAGGAAATATGCCAGATATTTAAGAGGTAAACTTTAGTCAGTAGAATTATGTATAACTTTTATCTTGTGCTTTAAACTCTCTACTTTTCCCAGGTTTTCTATAATCGGTATGAATTAATTATAAATGTTAGTTCTATCAAATTAGTTGAGACCTCCTTAATGACTTCCTATGTGGCCAATTTTAGTAAATGTCCCACACATGTTTGAAGAGAAAGTTTAATCTCTTTTTTGGGATGCAAATATTTATATATTCCTTTTATATAAAGCTTTAAAATATTCTAAATTCTTAATTGTTTGGTCTTGTTTTAGCAGCTTTTAAGAGAGAAATTAAAATCTCTTACATGTTTGTAGGCTTATTAATTTCTCCTTCTAATTCTGTAACTTTTTTGTTTGGAACAGTACCAGGCTATGTTATTAAATACATAAAATTCACAGGTTTCTGTTTTTTATTATTATTAACATTATTTTGTTAGTCAATAGGCAGTCTTTCTAAGACCCTTTTTTGAAAAATCTTTTTCCTGATATATATACCTTCTATTTTAATGTCATGCTTATAAATTGTTTATAGCTAGATTTAAAAAATTAATTTGTATGTTGAGTGAGTTTATTTTCATATTTATCGTGATTACTGGTTTTTGAAAATGATTTCTGCCAATGTTTTTCTCTGAGTTAGCCTGTCTGTGAGCACTGGCCCAAAGAAATACACAAGCAAGGGTTTGCAGTATAGAAAAAAAAAGTTTAATATCGAATTGGCAAATTCAATATTATCTCCCTAGGAGCTAATAGTCTAAAGACATGACTCCCTGATAATGTGTAGGTTACAGGCTGTATAGAATAAAATCACAAGACAGTTTGTTAGGAGTTCGTGGTCATGCTGGGAGGTGATTGGTCCAAGGTGAGATAAGGGTAATAAATTATTTCTTCAGGTCTTGAGGACATTTATGAGATCTTTTCTGAAGTCCATCTCTCAGGTTTCATGGAAAAGTAGCCAGGGGGTCGTTCTACCTTAGGGCTCAGGAACTGAAACATAAGTTGAGATGTTATCTTTAGCCTCCCAGAGGTCCAGACCATGTGACCATTAGTCAGGTCCTGGCTACTGTCTTCTGCTGCCTCGGGCTTGCTGATTATTCCAGGGAAAGGCTGGGTCTCTGAAGGGCTTAGGAAGAGAGAGAGAGAGATAGAATTTTTAGAGCAGAGATTTAAAACTAAATTTAATCAAAGTCATAAGGACCTTCAGTTTCACCATCCAATTTTGTGTTTTCTATTTGTCATGCTTTTTCTTTCTTTCTTTCTTTTTTTTCT